TTTTTTGTGTTAATAGTCAATATAATATTTATGATTAGTGTTTTAGTGCCTTTTTTTTTTCAGATGAAAATCACATTATTTTAGAAATTCCTGCAAAAAATAATTCTCAGATTTTAATGACACTTTCAGGACTTTGTCACAGATTAATTATTTTTTAATTTTTTTTCTTTTTAGAAAATCTTGGTTATAAAAAAAAAAAAAAAAAAAATTTTGTAACAAATATTCCTATACAATAGCAAAAGTGTTATTTGTTTTTTCAAAATTTTTAAATTTGGGGACACTCCTAAATATTCTTCTGGTTGATTGAAAAGTCGGGCAAGATATAGAGGACACAAAATGACAAAATTCAATGTTTAAAAAACAAAGGTGTCACTTTGCATCCTCCATAACTTGCCTAACTTTTTGACCAACCTGATAAAAGCTTGAATAAGGCAAGGTGTTCTTTCAATTTCACCCTGCTTTTTTTTCTTTTTTTAAACATCACAGGTCAAAGAGGAGGGCGATCGGCAGAAGGCTCAAATATTGGAATACTCTAACAAAATCGCTGAGCTCCACTCTTGTTTGGATGGCAAGGGAGGAGAAACATCTCAACTGCAATTATTACTGGACGAGAAGGAAGCAAAGTTGGCTGAAGCAGCTGATCAACTCACAAAGGCAAGTCTAATGAATATAGATTTTTTTGTTCTTGGGTATGCGCTTTTTTCTTTTTTTTTTCTTTTCTTTTTTTTTCCCTTTCTTTTTTTTTCCCTTCTTTTTTCTCTCTCTTTCTTTTTTCTCTCTCTTTCTTTTTTCTCTCTCTTTCTTTTTCTCTCTCTCTTTTTTTCTCTTTCTTTTTTCTCTCTCTTTCTTTTTTCTCTCTCTTTCTTTTTTCTCTCTCTTTCTTTTAACATAACTCATTTTGGAGAAAGTTTTCTCTGTATTCAAGCTTTCTTTACAACTTGAAACATTTATCATTGGCTCTGTAATATAAATTCTCTACCTTGTAGTAATGGTTTGGTTGACAAGCTTGCTAGCCATTATCTAAAACACTGATTAATATATTTGTAAAATATATTTTATTTATATAAAATATGTAATGTGCCCATTTTTGAAAGTACAGTTGACCATATACAACATTATCAAAAAATAAGAGCAATGACTATAGTAAATTTAAATCAATATTCCTAACATTAGATTACAGAGAATATTTTCCAACATTTTTAAAATGTTTACTTAGTACATAATTCCATCATCTTTTTAAATTATGTTTTAAGAAAGTCTCCATAGAACAGCAATCATTACAACATTACCTATCATCGCCTCATTAATTACGTAAAACATGGTGATGTCGATCAATTTATATTACAGAGCCAATGATAAATGTCTTTAAATTTATTCTTTTCTTAAGAGTTGTCTTTTGATATATCATTTTCTTCGGAGTCTTTAATTTCTATCTGCAATTCTTGTATTTCTGTATGATTTTATAGAGACCATAACTGCTAAGTTCTTATTTTGGCATAAGATAACATTTTATGCTTAAGCCCTGTGAAAATCAAACTCATGTCTAATGATTTATATAATCTGCACACGAACCACTGTTTTATGGTTGGTACTCTTAAGAACTTCATATACATTCTGTTTATTTTATCAGTGGAATACAATTAATGTAAATTATTTTCGGTCATTTTCTATAAGATATGCAGTACTCATCTCTGTAGACTTTTTTTTTTCTTTCTTGAATATTAAATTTGTAAAGGTATCCATGATTCTTCTGTTTTCTGCCATACCAACAACGCCCTGCTAATCTCTGCTACTACTATCCTTCTTTCTAGAATATTACTCAAACTACCATATCTTGCAAATGTACCTGAAACATGTTTCCTAAGAAGCCTGGATATTGAAAAGTAATATTTTGGTTGACACATTTCATCATATCCAAATTTATGAACCTCTTTTGGTATTCACATTCTAAGGATCATCATTATGCCATTTTATTTACCTACCTCCTCACTATTTTCATTTTGTCTCGTTTTTGTTGTACATTTTATTGTGCAACATTCCTTGCTGGTTAGACTTTGGTTAATGCTGACCCGGGCCATCCGAGTTGGTCTCTTCGATCTACACCAGGCCCTGCCCATGCTGTGTTGATTGATCTCAGAGCTGGCAAAGATCAATTTGTTGTCAGTAATTGTAGTATTGGTTCAATTCCCGCAAAGCTATGTCACAGAGAAAAAAAAAAAAAAATGTTCTTGCAGACACATTAAGAAAAGACAGAAATTTCTTCAGGGTTAATTGCAATGTGGTTTATATTGTTTTTTCTACAGAAGTATTAGCTCTTCCCACTTAGGATTCTATTGTGACATTTTGTTCCGTTTAGCTTGTTGGAGTTAACTCCTCCTTAATTGTCCAAATATTTCATTAGGGCATGCTCTCTCTACACTATAAATACTGGGCGACTTATCACCTCACTCTCTTTCTACTTTGCATTTCAGCGGACACATTTAAAAATGTGATCTCTGAGAGAAATCAGTGTTTTCGTCCACTTGTGAGAAAACGCCATGAAACACACATACATACGAACATTCACCAAAATACAAACTCTTTACGTTCACACACAAACACAAATGTTGATGTCTTTGTCACTTGTAAATTTGTTGTTTAATGCATATATTTGTTGACATATATATATTGGTCTTGTTTGTTTTCTTTACATTTCTTTATGGTGGATTCAGATTTCTAAATCCACCATGTTCTGTTAGTGGACCTTCTAGCAAGAATAAGCAGCACGTGTTTCTAATTCAACAACACATAAACCCACATAGGTCTGCTACAAGCTAAGTCTGGAACAAGTTGGAGGTTCTCTATGGCAGCAATTCATGTGGGATTTAGCAGAGTGGCTGTCTCTCGTCTGTTGTCTGGAAGAACTCATTTGGTCACTTCAATATTGCGCTTATATTAATTTTCACCCAAAACTGGCCTGACGTCAATGTGGTTAGGGGACTTGGTGATTCCCCTACGACAAGAGCCTCTTTATTGTCTGGCTCTGGATAATTATATCTCTAAGTTTGGAGAGATCTCTTTTCCGATGTGTAGCTGTCACAGGATATCAATCTGCTCCTTCCTTTTATTTGTACCTCACACTAACACTTCTCAATTGGTGTAGGCAATTCCTCTGTCCTTCTTGGTATTTCACCTGTACCTGTCACTTTGGTTGTCCTTTGACTAATCTCTCTATTTTGTTAGGGTCCTTGTACTTCAAAAACTCTGGATTGGATTTTTACAAAGAAATTCTACCTTCTTGTTTATAATTTCCACTTTTCGATACGCAAAAAAAACAGTTTTTAAAATTGCTAAGTTTCTATCAATTCGTGTTTTCATAACAGGCAGTGTCATCAATTGGTAGTCAGCTAAGTATTGCCACATGGCTTCTGATAATATCTTGTAAAGAGAATCACTTTTCTTCAAGTTATCTGCCCTAAAAAGAAAAAGAAATTTCCTTGTTTTCTCTCAGTCTGTCCATCATTCTGTTCTTTAACACTTTTTGTCTTGTTCAAAGTGTATATTTTTAATTAAACCCCTTTCTTTCCATTTGCCAGTGTCACAATTCTATTTTCTATAATATACTTTTTGATTACACTCAAGTCATCAAAATCATTAAGAATGGATGAGTGTTCCTTCTGTCAACACGTAAAGAAAAACCCATTTAAATTTCAGAAATATGAATGGACCTACAAAATGTAATAGTAATGGTGTGTTTTTACTAAAAAAAAAATAAGGAAACATTCTCAAGTTCACTGTGGTTTTCTTTCTAAATTTTTGTTCAAAGTCGTGTGAAAAGTCAACATCTTGCTTGTCATTATTTTTCCTCTATACATGTACCATTCATTTTTGTGGTGGCTGAAAGTCTTCAAGTGATGTTGTTTCTTTTATTTGGTAAAGCTTACAGCTATATCACATAACACTGGTTCTTGTATAATCACCAAAGTTAAGCAATGTCAAGCCTGTTCAGTACCTAGATAGGTGACCACTTCGGAAAAACCAGGTACTGTAAACTTGGATGTGTGAGTGGTATAATGGATAAATGCTCAGAGTTGTTAATCTGAAAGCCATGTTCCAATTCCCTTTGGGTTTGTTATATTCACTTATGTGCAAAAACCCTTGTGAAAGGTATGAATCCACCTCTTCTCCCCCCAGCTATGGGTTAATTAGTAAGACTTGTATCATCAAAACCATTATTATCTTGAAAAAAAATCTTACAATCTAAAAATATTTTCTGGCTTTAATTAACCTGCAACATGTTGATAAGCTGCTGAAAATGAATCCATCAATCAAATACTGATTAGCTACAGTTTTTAGATTTATTTACTTTTTCTGGAATATAAATGTACAGAAACTACTGTGGCCATAAAGTGAGGATATAGAATTAACCCACTCACTTTATATCCATTATTATCTCCAAAAGAAATTCTTACAATCTAAAATTATTTTCTGGCTTTAAATAACCTGCAAAGTGTTGATAAGCTGTAGAAAATGAATCAATCAATGAAATGTTGATTAACTACACAGGCACGTCCTTTAAATTTATTTACATTCTCTGGACTATAAATCTATAGAAACTACTGTGGCTAAAAAGTGAGGGATCAGTTTATATATTCATTATAATATAGAATTGATCCCCCCTAATTTTATACCATATTCTAATTTCTTGTTTGTTTATAAAATTCTGATTAGGCATGAATCCACCTTTTCTTCCCCTCAGCTATGGGTTAATTAGTAAAAACTTGTATCACAAAATCATTATTCCCCCCAAAAGATTCTTACAATGTAAATATATTTTCTGGCTTTAAATAACCTGTAAAGGGTTGATAAGCCGTAAAAAAATGAATCAATCTTAAAGTCTGGTGAGGATTTGAGTTCCAACAGATATTCAAAAGAAGCCTCATTTATAGTACAACTGTTCATCATGACAGGTGAAAAATTCAAGGTCTGCTTGGTAATTATGAAATATTTTGTTTTGGAGTTATTGAAAGTTACAAGCCAGTTTTTCCCTCCATTGCACTGTTTAAAGCTAGATCAGAGGAGAGATCAGCTGCCAGGCTCTGGATCATTTAGATTTTTGCAAGGTGCACCCATATTCAGTACCAGTATGCAAAGCAGTAGAATAAACATTCTAAATGCCTTTATTACTCTGTACTTCCAAACAAACTTCAGGTACCTATTGTGTTCATCAGTAGAACTGTATTTTTTGTAATATCAATTGCCATGTCTGCTGCTAGAAAAATTGGTTCACTGTGTTTTAATAATCAGCTGTTTTAGAAAAAAATTTAAAAAAAATCAATTCCAATCAATATAATTTCTGTTGAAAACACTAGAGTATTTTGCTTACTGGAAATAGTAAATTTGATCCTACAGCTTTCAATTAAAGCTAAAATGTGAGCTTTGAGAAAGACTTTTCATTTATAAAAATTCATTTTAAACCATAGATATTGCAAATTAGTGGAAGTACCTAGTTTTAAGTAAAGCTAATTAAACAGATTTGTTTTGACTTATTTAGTTAACTCCATTAATGTTTTGTTTTTTGCTCCATTCGGCTAATTTGTAGTAATAGGAAATGTCAGATATCAACAATGGTTACTAAAAATGCAGTAGGGAATAAGATCATAACTAATTAACTTTATGTCTACTTGTGAAAAATAAAGAATGTTATTTTTAAAAGATAACAGATATCAGCTGCAAGGCCCTGGGCCATTTAGATTTTTGCAAGGTGCACCCATATTAGGTACCAGTATGCAAAGCAGTAGAATAAATATTCTAAATACCTTTATTACTCTGTACTTCCAAACAAACTCCAGGTGCCTATTGTGTTCATCAGTAGAACTGTATTTTTTGCAATATCAATTGCTTTATCTCCTTCTAGGAAAGTTACTTCACTGTGTCATGCTAGACAATTTTTCCGACCAGAATCTTACACATTACCATTCATCCATACATTGAATATTGCTGCCACATCTGATCTGGTGTTTCTCCTATGTATTTAGTGATTTTTGATAAAATAGAGAAGGAATCTGCAATGTTATTGGTCGTGACCTGGCATCTAAGCTTCAGTCATTTTCCCACCATTGTAATGTATCTTCCCTGTGCCTTTTCTACAAATATTTTCATGGTAATTATTCTGATGAGCTACCTCTTTGGTACCTTGACTATAAATTTAAGCATAGTACTAAATTGACAGCAAGGTCTCATCATTTTACAGTTGAAATGGCTAGATGTAACTAAGTTCTATGATAACAGTTTCTTCTGTCACACTTCTTGCTTGTGGAAGTTTCTTCTGGCTTCTTGCTTTCCTGTCATCTTTGATCTTCAAAAATTTAAATGCAATGTCAATTATTATCTTCTGTCTTAATTTCTGTTCTTTGTTCTTTCTCCTTAATATTTTTTCTCATATTCTCTAACACTCAGTAATCCTTTACATCTTTCTGGCTTTATTGCCTTGCTTGGCATGAAGTGATTAAAAAAAAAAAAAAAAAACATTAATATGAAAAACTTCTTTTTGACAGCTGAACAAAATCATGAGTGATAAGAGTAATGAGTTGTCAGCTCTTCAGTTGCAATTAACAGATGTTCGTAAGGATTTTCAGTCCCAGCTGCATAAGAAAGAAATATGTGCAAATGAACTTCAATCAAAAATTGACAAGGTAAGAAAAATTATTACTTTTTTTTCCCCAGTTACTAGATTGGGAATGACCTTAAATAAAATCCATGCTTATCTGATAAAACTCGTTTTAATCTTACCCCATCATCATTTGAAAAGCCAGATTAAAGATACAATCGATTTTGTAGCAACTGAGTGGTTAGAATGTTTCCTTTCCAACTGCAAGAGCTAGGTTTGAATCTCACCATGGTCGATTCATCAGAAAGATTACTTATTGATGGTATCAGCCTGGGGAGGTGATCCCAGCATGTGGAAACTTTTGAAAAAATACCTGAAAACTGTACCCTGGGTTGAATAAAGCCATTTGAGTGAAATTGGGTAGGCAGAATTGTTTGTCAATGGTTGTGCAAGCATGAAATCATTGTGACTGAGGGTGTACTGGCCTTTTTCAAACTGTTGATCACACCAGATGATGAGCTTCCTCCCTGAAACTAGTAAAAATACCAGCAATACATTTTTGTAAATGAAATTACTAATGCTTCCAAGAAAATTAAAATTTGTTATTAAATGACACATAAAGAATTGATGTGCCGTTAAACAAACAAGCCATTTAGAACCCAGTCTGTCCTACTATTTAGCTTATAGATAGTGTTAGAAGAGATGGACTCTGTGGAAACTGTGCAAGCCATAACTGAGCAGTACTAAATAAAACTAGATGAGATATCCCTAGACATGGGCAGTGGAACAAGAACAATCTACCCTGTAAATTAAATAAAGGGTTCAATTGGAAATTCCCTGTAGGTTACTTGGACTGACATACAATTGATGAAGGCCGGAGAGCACAATGGCTGAAAAGTTATGATAATGACAACAAAGATAGGGACAATAGTCTGCATGTAAATAATGTATATTCTCTTCTTTTTTTTTTTTTTTTTTTTTTTTGTGCTGAATTCAAATTTTGTTTTTTTTTTTTTTCTTTTTCAGTTGGAAAGTAATGTGGAGACATACCAAACGCAGGCATCCGACTTACAAAAACAATTGGACCTTCTTAATCAACAATATGAAACGGAGGTAAGCATTTTCATCAGTATTTGATATCCATCATTTGTCAACTTCGTTTTTAACTCTGGAAAAAAAAAAAAAAAACTGTTTTCATTATTTGCTTTCTCTTAGATGAAGTGCTCCTCTATAAATAATTCTGTCAGTGTGTCTACTACAGTTTTTATTTTTTCATCAATTCATCTTAATCAAGGCTGTTCTATTCTATGGACAATATTTGTTAGCCTGTATAGGGATTGAACTTATATCCTCCTGGTTATAAAAACTAATGGTTTGTTGGATTAACCTGTTTTCCCTGCCAGGTCAGATGGGCTCAGTCCAAGTAGCTCAATTTAAGCTAGTTGTTTTTTTTCTAGATGGGTGGACTTTCAGTTGCCCGGAGGCTTTTCTTCCAGATTCTTCCAAAAGGATTGGCAGAGGAAGAGAATGGGTTTTTTCCTGTTGGAGTAGATGCTGCAGATGTAGTATCTGTTCTGTGCCAGAGACCTTCTCTCCTCCCTTGCATTCCCCACACCATTGCATGACATCTGTTATGTAGCAGTGGTAGCTATGACTAGTTTAGACCAGCTTAGATCAGCTGCCCAAGTAGAAACACTCGGGTCCCCATGTTAAAAACTGCCCTTGTGTCACATCCTGACTCCCTGGTGGGTTAAGATAAATCTTGGACTTTCAGTTGCCTTGTGAATTCTTGTCAGAGTAAATCAGGAATGAACAGACTTTCTTCTGCCTGGATAATTTCTCTAAAATAATTTAACAAAGGCAATGAAGCCACTAAGATGCAAGGGGTTACTGAAAATGAAAGAAACTGAGAAAGCATTACTGAGAACAAAGGATAATAAAAAGAACAGGATTTAGAATTTTGAAGATTGTAGTTAACAGAAATGCAATAAGCTTTTAATTGCTTTCAGAAATAAGGTTTATTAAGGACACTATTGATTTAAAGAAAAAATGTTTTTCAATGAATAATGAATTTTACAAGAATTGTTTTCTGTTTTTTTTAAATTTTAATTAAAATAATTTATAACTTTTCAGAAATCTTTTAAAATTCTACATTAGTTTAATCTCGTTAGGTGATGTTGTTGTTAAGTGAAAATTATATCACAGTGGAGTGCTGGATAACAACTCAGATTGAAGAATCAGTGCTGAGTTCAAATTCCAATTGGATCCATTACATTCACTTATGTGCTAATACCTTTGGGAATGATATGAATCCTCCTCTTCTCTCCCCAGCTATGGGTAAATAGCAGGACAGACTGAGTTCTATAGCCTTGGATGGCAACTGGTCTAGGAGAAGGAAAAACTCTGAATTCAAAACCTGACTGGAGAGAGTTGGGCTCCATCAGGCTATCTTGCCCAAGAAACACCACTTCTATTGTGGTTGCAGTACACATGGTGACCCTATGGGTTACGGGATGAAAAAATATATTTATTAATCAAAAACTGTAAAGCTTAATACAAACCATTTTGCACCAAGATTTTTTAAAATAATTTTTATCTGTATAAATTCTTATGTAACATGCCCATTTTTAAAAATGTGGTTGACCATATATGACATTATCAGAAAATAAGAGCAATGAGTATAGCAAATTTAAAGTCAACATTCCTAAAATTATGGAGAATGTTTTTCAACATTTTTATGATGATTACTGAGTACTTAAAAATTATATAAAAAAAGGCACCCATGTCATTATCTTAAATTGTTTTACAGATAAAATCTTCATAGAACAGCAATCATTACGACATCACCTGTCATCACCTCGTTGATTACATAAAACATAGCGATGTCGGTTAAAACACAGCTACTGTTTTGTTTTAAAAATACATTACTAAGTTATTTTAAACTTGAAGTAAATGATATTTTTTCCAATCAGATTAATTATACTTTAAATCAGCTAGTATTCCTCAAAAAAAGTTTCAGAAAAGTATATTTTATTTTTAGATTTTTTAATACAGAGAATTATATTGTAATAAAAGACAACTAAAAATGGGTGCTAATCAGTTTATAAAGCAAGAAGCCAGAAGAGAGAAGAAACTATTAGAATAGAAATTACGATTACATCTAGTAGTTTCAACAGTAAAATAATGAGACCTAACTGCTAATCTAGTACTGTGCTCAAATTCATGATGTTGAGGTACCAAAGAAGTTCATCAGAACAATTATCATGAAAATATTCATAGAAAAGCAAAGGGAAGCTACATTAAGTCAGTGGGGAAAGTAACTGAAGCTGAGATGCCAGGTCAGGGTTGATAACATTGCAGATTCTTTGGATTTTGTCAAGAATCTCAAGATGCATAGCATAATTTTGGGAACAAGGTGTTATCATTTATATTACTTACAATCAAACTAATGTCTTCATCTTTAAGATCAATCATCTGTTGACCTGGCTAACCGTTGATGAATTTCAACCTGAACCCTTTATTCAATCTACAGGTGGATTGTTCTCATTCTACAGTCTGTATATTGGAATATCTTGTTAAGTGTTCTGACATTACTAGTCCTTTTTCCACTGAGTCTGTGCCTCTATACTGCAAGGCAGGGCTGGTGCGTACTACCCCTGAAACCCGTGGGAAGTGCTTTGTAACTTATCAACACTTGCTTTTTTTCTACCTACATTTATATCCGTTACTAATTAAACAAAGCACACCTGACTATTAAAGGATAAAAAATTTTCATGAATTTTGACATCATTCAAGGGTCTTTTTTTTTTTTTTTTTTTTTTTCCATCTAAATCCATGAATTTGTTTTGCTCATGCTAAATCTTAAAAAAACGAAACAAAAAGAAACACTATATAAAATTCACTATTTTTTATCGATAATGTTGAATATGTTAAAATTTTTCAACTTTTTAACAAGAAAAATCAAAAGTTAATGTTAAAAATTGCTGCAGAACATTATTGATTTATTTAAGAGGGAATGATCTATTATGACATGTCTCTAATTTGTATTTAGATACATTGTATTTATTTTAAATTTTTCTAGTTGGATTGTTCAACTATATTGCATATGATCCATTACAGTACATAATTAGGTTACTATAAAATTTGTATTTTACATAAATACTACTTTATAAAAATTGCGATGTAGTAGAGTGGGTGGGATGAGATACTTGCACCGGCCCTGCTACAGGGATTGAACTCACAATTACTATCTCATCAGATTCACTAACCAATGTTTTAATCATCTAGTTGTCTAATCTGTGAGATAATCCTGTTGAAGATATTTACTTGGAACCTTAAATTTTGTTCTTCCCTTTCTGTTGGATATGTTTTGATTATAGCAACAAAGATGAGAACATTAGTCCAACTGTAAATTTCTGTTTGCATAAAATATAAAAGGAACATTATCAAGCAATGAAATGTTTGACAGCAGCTTTTGGTAACATGGCGGAGACTTTTGATCTCAATAGTTGCTTTTATTCTGATGACTTGTCTGAACAACATTAAGAATGACAATGACTCTCATTTGTATTTCACTTCATTTTCAGTGTGCTACCAGTGTTGAATTGAAAACTGAGATAAGAGATAAATCAGCTCAGATCGAAGAAAATGTTCGTAAGGCTGGCATCAGGTAAGGCAGGAACTGGAATCACAATATAAACCCAACTTTGGTAAATTTGCATTATTTCTGGATCACCTCTTTTTCTTTGTTTTCTCTTTTCTTCTTTTAACTTTTCTTTTTTTTCTTTTTTTAACTCTTTTCTGCTTTTTTTTTTTGTCTTTTCTATCTTTGTCTTTTTTCTTTCTATCTTTGTCTTTCTTCCTTTTTTTTTCTTCCTTTTCTCTTTCTTTTTCTATCTTTGTCTTTCTTCCCTTTTTGTCTTTCTATCTTTGTTTCTTCCTTTTGTCTTTCTATCTTTGTCTTTTCTTCCTTTTTGTCTTTCTTTTTGTCTTTCTTCCTTTGTCTTTCTTCCTTTTGTCTTTCTTCCTTTGTCTTTCTTTTTGTCTTTCTTCCTTTGTCTTTCTATCTTTGTCTTTCTTCCTTTTGTCTTTCTTCTTTGTCTTTCTTCTTTCCTTTGTCTTTCTTCTTTGTCTTTCTATCTTTGTCTTTCTTCTTTTGTCTTTCTATCTTTTGTCTTTGTCTTTGTATCTTTTTGTCTTTCTATCTTTGTCTTTCTATCTTTGTCTTTCTTTCCTTTTGTCTTTTTCCTTTGTCTTCCTTTCTTCCTTTGTCTTTCTATCTTTGTCTTTCTTCCTTTGTCTTTCTTCTTTGTCTTTTCTTCCTTTGTCTTTCTCCTTTGTCTTTCTCTTTGTATTCTTTTTGTCTTTCTATCTTTGTCTTTCTTCCTTTGTCTTTCTTCTTTGTCTTTCTTTGTCTTTCTTTGTCTTTTCTTCCTTTGTCTTTCTATTTTGTCTTTCTATCTTTGTCTTTCCTTTGTCTTTCTTCTTTGTCTTTCTTCCTTTGTCTTTCTATCTTTGTCTTTCTTCCTTTTGTCTTTCTATCTTTGTCTTTCTTCCTTTTGTCTTTCTATCTTTGTCTTTCTTCCTTTGTCTTTCTATCTTTGTCTTTCTTCCTTTGTCTTTCTTCCTTTGTCTTTCTTCCTTTGTCTTTCTTCCTTTGTCTTTCTATCTTTGTCTTTCTTCCTTTGTCTTTCTTCCTTTGTCTTTCTTCCTTTGTCTTTCTATCTTTGTCTTTCTATCTTTGTCTTTCTATCTTTGTCTTTCTATCTTTGTCTTTCTATCTTTGTCTTTCTTCCTTTGTCTTTCTATCTTTGTCTTTCTTCCTTTGTCTTTGTCTTTCTTCCTTTGTCTTTTGTTTTCTTTTGTCTTTCTATCTTTGTCTTTCTTCCTTTGTCTTTCTATCTTTGTCTTTCTTCCTTGTCTTTTCTATCTTTGTCTTTCTTCCATTTTGTCTTTCTATCTTTGTCTTTGTCTTTCTTCCTTTGTCTTTGTCTTTTGTCTTTTCTTCCTTTGTCTTTCTTCTTTGTCTTTTTGTCTTTCTATTTGTCTTTGTCTTTCTTCCTTTTTGTCTTTCTTCCTTTGTCTTTCTTCCTTTGTCTTTCTTCTTTGTCTTTCTTCCTTTGTCTTTCTTTTTTGTCTTTTCTTTTTGTCTTTTTTCCTTTGTCTTTCTTTCTTTTCTTTGTCTTTCTTTTTTGTCTTTCTTTCTTTGTCTTTCTTTGTCTTTCTTTTTGTCTTTCTTTCTTCCTTTGTCTTTCTATCTTTGTCTTTCTTCCTTTGTCTTTCTATCTTTGTCTTTCTATCTTTTGTCTTTCTTCCTTTGTCTTTCTATCTTTGTCTTTCTTCCTTTGTCTTTCTATCTTTGTCTTTCTATCTTTGTCTTTCTTCCTTTGTCTTTCTATCTTTGTCTTTCTTCCTTTGTCTTTCTTTCTTTGTCTTTCTTCCTTTGTCTTTCTTCCTTTGTCTTTCTTCCTTTGTCTTTCTATCTTTGTCTTTCTTCCTTTGTCTTTCTTCCTTTGTCTTTCTTCTTTGTCTTTCTATCTTTGTCTTTCCTTTCTTTCTTCCTTTTTCTTTTCTTCTTCCTTTTGTCTTTCTTCCTTTGTCTTTGTCTTTCTTCCTTTGTCTTTCTTCCTTTGTCTTTGTCTTTCTCTTCCTTTGTCTTTCTTCCTTTGTCTTTCTTCCTTTGTCTTTCTATCTTTGTCTTTCTATCTTTGTCTTTCTTCCTTTGTCTTTCTATCTTTGTCTTTCTTCCTTTGTCTTTCTTTCTTTGTCTTTCTTCCTTTGTCTTTCTTCCTTTGTCTTTCTTCCTTTGTCTTTCTTCCTTTGTCTTTGTCTTTCTTTTTTGTCTTTCTTTTTGTCTTTCTTTGTCTTTCTATCTTTGTCTTTCTTCCTTTGTCTTTCTTCCTTTGTCTTTCTTTTGTCTTTCTTCCTTTGTCTTTCTTCCTTTGTCTTTCTATCTTTGTCTTTCTTCCTTTGTCTTTCTATCTTTGTCTTTCTTCCTTTGTCTTTCTATCTTTGTCTTTCTTCCTTTGTCTTTCTATCTTTGTCTTTCTTCCTTTGTCTTTCTTTCTTTGTCTTTTTCTTCTTTGTCTTTGTCTTTTTCTTCCTTGTCTTCCTTTGTCTTTCTTTTTGTCTTTCTTCCTTTGTCTTTCCTTTGTCTTTCTTCTTTGTCTTTCTTCTTTTGTCTTTCTTCTTTGTCTTTCTATCTTTGTCTTTCTATCTTTGTCTTTCTTTTTGTCTTTCTTTTGTCTTTGTCTTTCTTCTTTGTCTTTGTCTTTCTTCTTTTCTATCTTTGTCTTTTCTATCTTTGTCTTTCTATCTTTGTCTTTCTTTGTCTTTCTTCCTTTGTCTTTGTCTTTCTTCTTTCTTCATTTGTCTTTCTTTTGTCTTTCTATCTTTGTCCTTTGTCTTTCTTCCTTTTGTCTTTGTCTTTGTCTTCCTTTTGTCTTTCTTCTTTCTATCTTTGTCTTTCTTCTTTGTCTTTCTTTTTGTCTTTCTTCCTTTGTCTTTTGTCTTCTTTGTCTTTCCTTCCTTTGTCTTTCTTCTTTGTCTTTCTTTTCTATCTTTGTCTTTCTTCCTTTGTCTTTCTTCCTTTGTCTTTCTGTCTTTGTCTTTCTTTCTTTGTCTTTCTTCCTTTGTCTTTGTCTTTTCTCTTTGTCTTTCTTCCTTTGTCTTTCTCTTTCCTTTGTCTTTCTGTCTTTGTTTCTTTTTGTCTTTCCTTTGTCTTTCTTCCTTTGTCTTTCTTCCTTTGTCTTTCTTTGTCTTTTGTCTTTGTCTTTGTCTTTCTTCCTTTGTCTTTCTTCCTTTGTCTTTCTTCCTTGTCTTCTTCTTTTTGTCTTTCTAATCTTTGTCTTTCTTCCTTTGTCTTTCTTTCTTTGTCATCTTCTTTGTCAAACACATGTTCCACTTTCTTCCTCATGTTTTTTCCTTTATTTATATTTGTATATATATTTATATATATTTGTATTCTTCCTTTGTATTTATATTATTTCTTTTTCTAAAATTTAAACAAAACTAGTCATCTTCAAAACATGTTCCATAAAATTTGTTTTATAATGCCCAATTCAGATAATTTGATCAATTGGTAATCAAAGATAGGTAACTATCTTTGATCACCACCTGATGAGATGTCTGAATTGTTACATAGAAACAAATATGCATTTTTGTAGTGGTAACTTAAATGTTCAAATGTAATGACTTATAATAAATAATTATTTCTCTACTTTTGTATTGAGCTCTCTTTTAAATTAATGTTATGAACATTTGAATTTATATTCATTTCGTTCTCTTTACATTTGGAGATGTATATTGGCAGATCTTCTATTATCACAATATGGAATATTTAATAACAAAAGTGATAAAAGGAAACTAAATGAAATTGGATAGACTATAGCCAAGCACATTAAAAGAAAGTTTAAAATTTTTCATGCAATTTAAATTTAAAAGTTTAAAATTTCAGCATCTCTTCTCTTTGTGTGCATGTGTAGTTATATCAACGTAACTAAAGGATGGAATGAGTGACACGAGATAATGTTCCACTTTGTCATTTACTTATATATATATATATATATATATATGAGTGCAACTTAGATATATTTTGGAAGTATATTAGAATAATCAAGAACCTATACTGGCAGCAAACCACTGTGGGGATTGAGGTAAGTTTAATCTTTACTACTGAGTTGCGAGTTCAATCCTCAATGTATGCTCTTTATAAAAATTAACATTAACCTCACAAAAATTTACAAGTTAAATCAACCATTTCAAGGATTATATATATATATATATATATATATATATATATATATATACTAGCTTAAAAGCCAAAGTATCAGGCAATGTTTAAGCTAGCTCCTGCTGATTGCTCTTGGTTGGGCTTTCATCACAATAGGTAGGAGGGAGTAGATGCAATAAACTACAGAAGAACTCAAAATCAATTGCTGTATTGCATTATTATTTAAGCTTGACTTTTAAAAGTTCAATGATAATTCTTCTGTCGCTACTTAATTTAAAGATAATTTCATGTACATAGCTCTCCTTAGTTTCCATACAAACAATTATTTTTATTTCATGGATGACTTTTGCTGGATTTCACAATTAATTTTGATTATTCCTAAATTTATTTCCAAGTCATAAAAATTTGTTGTAAAAATATGTAAAAAAATCCCCAAAAGCAATTGCAGTAATTAAAACTTGTGAATCCAAAATTTCAGGATTGCAGGTCAGGATATGGCCCAGAATGTCTTTAATTTGCTCATGGAGTCTGTCTGATTCCAAAATGGTATGCTACGGCCTCTCAGAATAAAGTTGAAAGCATGGACAATTTTATTTTGAAACTTTGTAATTTGAGAACAGTAATTTTTTCATTTGAACATGAGCTATTGAAAGTTAATTAGTTGTATCCCCTTAATTATTTTTATGAGTAGAAACCAATATGTTGGAATCCAAAAACAATAATGAATACTTGGGAAATCAAAATTTCAGTATTGTGGATCTGGCCTGGAATGTTTTTAATTTGCTCACAGCATCGGTGTGATTCCAAAATGGTATATATTGGCCTACAACTTCTAGGAGTAAAGTTGAAAAAGTGTGACACAGTGACATTTGCATTTGCATATGTTGGTGATGTAATGAATATGCATACACCTGGGTTTCCCCTCACAGTAATAAGATTGGCTGGTGTCAGCCATAAATACAGACTGATGTGGAGGTACAGGGAAGACGCCTATTGACTTTGCCTATTGGCTACACATATTGCCTACGACTACAATGAGGACCAGTCCATTGCAGTTACCTGCTAGATTGTGCTACTCGGTTACGGTAGACCAAAACCACTTTGCTACTTCGGACAAATATATCCCTTTTCGAGACATATTAGTTGGCCTACAGCTTCTAGGAATAAAGTTGAAAAAAGTGTGACATGGTGACATACTGACATTTGCATTTATTTTATATATATATATATATATATATATATATATATATATATATATGAGTGACAGTTTTATTTTCATGTATTTTTTTTTCTGTTTTGTATTTCAGTGAAGGGAAACTGGCTGAAGTGGAATCTCAAGCAAACAAGTTACGAGAAGATGTTCAAAGGTTGGAGGTGGAAAGGACGGACTTGATAAGCAAGGTTTTTGAATATTTTTGAATATGTATGTGAATTGCAAATTGGAGATTCCAAAATCAAGCAAGTACAAAAACTTAAATATAACAGTGTTTTAATAGAAGAGAGAAAAAGTGAAACTGAAATCTGAAGGCACATTGGGATAAGGAAATATGTCCTCTAAAAACTAAGCAAAGTACTAAGAAACAGGAAAATTTCATTAGAAACAAAGAAAAGAGTACTTGAATGTTATACAGGGAGCAGCAAAAATACCTCCCATATATACCTCCCAACTAATGTTATGACATTAGTGGCACTAGTGTTTTCATCCAGCTCATGTCTTACCATTATGTGGACGGTATTTCTGCTGCACTCTATATAATATCAGCTCTCCTATATGGCAGTATAGAGGAGGTGTAGTGGATAGTGGCTCGGATTGAGGAATCAGAGCTAAGTTCAAATTCCAGTTGAATCCATTACATTCACATACATGCTAATACCTTTGAGAAAGGTATTCATCCCCTTCTCTCTTCAGCTATGGGTAAATAGCAGGACAGACTGGGTTCTATAGCCTTGAATGGCAACTGGTCTAGGAGAAGGACAACTCTGAATTCAAAACCTGCGGAGGGTCGGTTGGGGACTTTGTGGCACGTAGTGTACTAGTTCTGTGTATTTGGCCCTTCAAAAAGTGTGTTTGGTTCTGCACAAAGCCTTCACCAATATAATTGAATCATATGTGCTGGTGTCTGTCTGGCTGTCAGTTCATAGAAACTGAGCTGCTTAACCCTTATACATCAAATACGACGGGAGAGTCCACCATATGACAGTGAGTGCGGGACAATCTCCTCACAGATGAAGAAACTTGAGGCTGCAGAAATGTGGTTCTAAGGAAAGATGCTGAGGATATCATCTACTGAGCAACGACAAAATCTTAGAAAAAATGGAAACAAAAAGGACACTTATACTTAGGACTTAGAGGGTATATTCACTTTGCTCTAATGCCTGTCTGGAAAGGCAAGAATCCATTTCTCCCTTCCACAGCTATGGTAGTGTAAGATGGGCTCCTTTAGCCGTAGGTAGTAAACACTTTGAGAAGAAAAACTTCAAATTCCAAGCCATGGAGAAGGCAGCAGGAAAACACTCCATTATCTTTCCCATGAGGCCATGGCAATTTACAGGTAATAAAAGGAATGTGTGGAGAGTCATGATCACCTGTCTTGAAAGGACATGGCATTTGAAGAAAGAAAAAAAAATCACTTACTCTCTTGACCATGTCCTGATACAAGATTTAAAAAGGTGCTTGGAAGAAAATTGTATCAAGTGCAGTCATCTCTATCAGTATCCATGGCTTGTGCAGCAGTTTTTGATCAAGGACAACATTCCCCAGGTCCAACAACTACAATATTCCCCAGATCTCACCCCTTGTGATTTTTTCCTCTTCAAAAATCAAATCCTTCTTGAAAGGAACAAGATTTCAAGACATCAAGCAAATCCAAGAGAATGCAACATGGCAGCTGCTTACTACTCCAAAAAGGAGTTTCCAGGAATGCTTCCATCAAGGAAAACAATGCTGGATAAAGTGTGTGACTTCAGAAGTGGATTACTTTGAAGGAGATTAAATACTGAATTGATATGTGTTGTAGTTTTCTTTTTATAGCACCAGTACATAAGCTAGATAACAATTGATTCTAGACTTGGAGCAGTTAAGATTGTAGTAATTGGAGAAGTGTCCTCTCAAGAATCTGTTCCACAAAGTTCTTGAGAAGAAACAGTCTGAGTGGAACTTCCTCCTTACTATTGGAATATGAAAGGAATGAGGCTAGATTGATGCTCTGTGCATGGCATGGTACATGCTAGCTGTGAAGGTCTGAATGGGTGGAACTAAAGAATGTCGCTCATCTTAGTTGTTATTATATACCAAACTGTTATCCTCATCTTGGTTGTTATAGTCACAGTGATTTTGCTATTGTATCCTCCCTCCTCCTTCACATGTGTAAAAAAAAAAAAAAAAAGTAATCCTTCAAGAACTAGAACCTTCCAAACATTCACAAGAGAAACAAAATGCTCATAAAATAAATAACACCACTCAATGCAATCACTGAAGAACCAAGAGAAATTGACATAAATGAACAAAACTCTATTTCACTTAAAATAAGGGAATGGTTATCATCCAGACAAAGATTACCAAAAGAACCTAATAGAAAAACAGATCAAACAAACAAAACAAAAGACCTCTGAAGAACAAAACTAGAAACAAAGCCTTGACAAATTGTAGAGCATATAAATTATGAACACCCACTAAACATAAACTGGACAAGCAAAAACTAATAACATCACCCTAATACATAAGCATGATGCCAAAAATTATATAATGGAATTGTCAAGGCCTAAAAGTGAACTGCTCCTACTCAATCAATTTCCTGCTATCATATGCCTTCAAGAAGCATTCCTAAAACCAAATGATAAAATAAAATAGATCCTATCTTGTCAGCTTTAAACAAAAAAGAATCTATAAATAACTCTGAGAGTCCAAATCCAAAGTATGAAAATCCTTCAAGAACTAGAAATCTCCAAATATTCACAAGAGAAACAAAAGGTTCTTAAAAGAAATAATACAACCCAGTACATCACTGAAGAACTAAGAGAAATGGACATAGATGAACAAAACTCTACCTCACCTCAAATAAGAGAACGTTCATTATCCAGACAAAGATTGCCAATAGAACCTTATGGAAAAACAGATAAGCAAAAACAAAAGACCTCTGAAGAACAAAACAAGAAGCCTTAACAAACTAGAGAGCATAGAAATTATGAACATTTCACCCATTAAACATAAACTAGACATGCAAAAACTCATAACACCACCCTAAAACATAAGCATGAGGCCTAAAAGCGAACATAAATGAACTATTCCTACTGATAACAAATCAACTTCCCACCATCATATGCTTCCAAGAATCGTTCCTAGATTGGACCTTACAATAAGACTCATACAGGTGTTTTACAAATTAAATAGCAATAAAAAATGTTGATGGATTTTTAAACGTAAATGCATGCACAATAAATTATTTTAATGCATAACAGATTATTAATTGAAAAGACTTGAAGCAATAGAAATGTGGTTCAACAGAAGGATGCATGGACCGAATATTTGAGCAATGGCAAAGTTTAGAGAAAATGGGAAGAAAAAGGAAACTTAACATTGTGGAGAGACAGCTAAAATTTCTAGGGCACATAATGATGACAGAGTAGTTGGAAAATTTGGTACTCATATGACAGATTGAAGGCAAGAGGGACGAGGTATACCATACATAACATACTTGGTGAGCTTGACTAAATAGATGGCAGAACAGGGATTGGGAGAAATAACAAAAAAGCAAAATTAATTAAGTACTACAAAAGACAGGAAATTGTGGAGAGCCATGATCACCACATCCTGAAGAGACGTGACACACAGAAGAGGAATGAGCTTGACTAAATAGATGGCAGAACAGGGATTGGGGTAAACAACAAAAAAGCAAAATTAATTAAGTACTACAAAAGACAGGAAATTGTGGAGAGCCATGATCACCACATCCTGAAGGGACGTGACACACAGAAGAGGAATGAGCTTGACTAAATAGATGGCAGAACAGGGATGGGGAAATAACAAAAAAAGAAAATTAATTAAGTACTACAAAAGACAGGAAATTGAGGAAATAACAAAAAGAGACGCAAAAGAGGAATTAAAATTGGCAGAACAGGGATTGGGGAAACAAAAAAAGCAAAATTAATTAAGGAAATTGGAGAGCCATGATCACCACATCCTGAAGGACGGACACACAGAAGAGGAATGAGCTTGACTAAATAGATGGCAGAACAGGGATTGGGAGAAACAAAAAAAGCAAAATTAATTAAGTACTACAAAAGACAGGAAATTGTGGAGAGCCATGATCACCACATCCTGAAGGGACGTGACACACAGAAGAGGAATGAGCTTGACTAAATAGATGGCAGAACAGGGATTGGGAGAAATAACAAAAAAGCAAAATTAATTAAGTACTACAAAAGACAGGAAATTGTGGAGAGCCATGATCACCACATCCTGAAGGGACGTGACACACAGAAGAGGAATGAGCTTGACTAAATAGATGGCAGAACAGGGATTGGGAGAAATAAAAAAAAAGCAAAATTAATTAAGTACTACAAAAGACAGGAAATTGTGCAGAGCCATGATCACCACATCCTGAAGGAACGTGACACACAGAAGAGGAATGAGCTTGACTAAATAGATGGATGGGAGAAATAACAAAAAAGCAAAATTAATTAAGAACAAAAAGGGAAATTGTGGAGAAATCAACACAAAAACACAAAAGGAATTAAAATTGGCAGAACAGGGATTGGGGAAACAACAAAAAGGCAAAATTACAAAAAGACAGGAAATTGTGGAGAGCCATGATCACCACATCCTGAAGAGACGTGACACACAGAAGAGGAATGAGCTTGACTAAATAGATGGCAGAACAGGGATTGGGAGAAATAACAAAAAAGCAAAATTAATTAAGTACTACAAAAGACAGGAAATTGTGGAGAGCCATGATCACCACATCCTGAAGGGACGTGACACACAGAAGAGGAATGAGCTTGACTAAATAGATGGCAGAACAGGGATTGGGGAAACAACAAAAAGGCAAAATTAATTAAGTACTACAAAAGACAGGAAATTGTGGAGAGCCATGATCACCACATCCTGAAGAGACGTGACACACAGAAGAGGAATGAGCTTGACTAAATAGATGGCAGAACAGGGATTGGGGAAACAACAAAAAAGCAAAATTAATTAAGTACTACAAAAGACAGGAAATTGTGGAGAGCCATGATCACCACATCCTGAAGGGACGTGACACACAGAAGAGGAATGAGCTTGACTAAATAGATGGCAGAACAGGGATTGGGAGAAATAACAAAAAAGCAAAATTACTTAAGAACTACAAAAGACAGGAAATTGTGGAGAGCCATGATCACCACATCCTGAAGGGACGTGACACATAGAAGAGGAATGAGCTTGACTAAATGGATGGTGGAACAGTTTGGAAGAAATAACAAAAAGACAAAATTTATTAAGAGCTACGAATGACAGGAAATTGTGGAGAGCCATGATCACTGATTTCCTGAGGAGGGACATCACATGAAGAATAAACTGAAGCATACTTCAATAAGCAAAATGTTCTGTTTAATGCCAGGGTATTGTAATCCAATAAAGAAAATTCTGTAAAATGAAATGTCATTCTTCACATGTTCAGTCCATGGAATCCTCAGCATCCTTCTGTAGAATCACAATTCTGTTGTGTCAAGTCTCTTCATCTTTGAGGAGATTGTCCAGTACTTACTGCCTTACAGGAGGACAGATAGTTCATAACATTTAAGTACTCTTTTCCTTGTTTGAATGGTACAGAAGTCAAAATAGTATTTACATTAGTCGGACTATTGTCCTCATCTTTGTCGCCATATTTGTCACAACGTTTCGGCCGTTGTACGCTCCGGCCTTCTTCAGGTGGTTGGAATTTCGAACTGAACCCTTTATTTCGATCGCTGGGGTATACTGTACTAGTTCCACGTGCCATGTTTGATGGATGTCAGTTATCAGTTATCTCCTGCTAATTTTCTCTCTGAAAGTTCTCCACCGCCTTAACCAGGAATTGAACTCACCTTCTTTGGGTCTGTCACTGGATCTAACCAACGCCTTTATCCACTGTGCCATGTGTCCTTGAGGACATGGCACGTGGAATTAGAACAGTCTACCCCAGCGATCGAAATAAAGGGTTCAGTTCAAAATTCCAACCACCTGAAGAAGGCCGGAGGTACAACGGCTGAAACGTTATGACAAATATGGCGACAAAGATGAGGACAATAGTCCGACTAATGTAAATACTGTACATAATACCTCATCTCAGAAATATAGACAAACTCAGAAGTCAAAATGTTGTAATGATAACAACTAAGAAAATGGCACCAGTTTGAATAAACTAATGTGTAATATTGATAATTCCTCATCTGTGAATCTTGTGCAGAAATAAATTTAAGTTATTGAATGATTCTTTCAGATTGAAGCTGGAGAAGGGGCCCAAACAGCCATTAATCAAATGAAACAAGAGAATGTAAGTACACACCCTTTTATAATATACCTCCATTTACTACAGCTATTTCCATGGTTTAAATTTTGGTTCTTCATTCTAATGAATAAATATTGCTAGTATTATGCAGTTCCACATTTGAGAAAGACATGAATCCACTTCTCACTGCTAGCTATGAGTAAATAATAGAGCAGTTGCAACCTTTTTAGTCCTGAAAAGTATTTCAGAATAAATTCAGGTTCATGAAATATCTTGCCAGATCATGTCAACGTCTCCCAATTGTTTAATTTAATTGTTGTTTTTTGTTTTTTTTTTTGTTTTTTTTTTTAAATCTTGAATTGGGCTTTTATTCACATAATTTATTTGAATCTTTGGCAAGTTTCAATCTTTGTGCCAGCAAAAAAATTGAGTCAAAATGTTTTTTTTCCATTGACAAAGCTATTACCGTATACACTTTTAACTCTCTCAGCAATGTTTGTTATAAAAAGCAATGATTAAAATTTTAATAAAATCCTAAATATATGAAAGTGGATTTATACATTTTTTATTTTTTTTAATTGGTATCACTCCGTCACTTAATTTAAAGACGATTTGATCCTTACTTTACTTACAAACAATTTTTATTTCATGGGTGACTTTCACTGGATTTCATAATTTTGATTATTCCCAAATTTATTTCCAACTTATAAAAATTATTGTACAAAAAAATTTGTCACATGAAATCATAAAAAAAATCACCAAAAACAATGGCAGTAATAAAACCTTGGGAATCAAAAATTTCAATATCCAGCCTGGAATGTTTTTAATTTGCTCCCAGAGTCAGCCTGATTCCAAAATAGTATAATATATTGGGCTACTGCCTCTAAGAGTAAAGTTGAAAAAGTGTTACACACTGACATCAGCGTTTATTCTATAGGAAATGAGCTTTTGAGAGTTGTGTCCCTTTAATTGAAAAAGTGTGACACAGTGACACACTGACATTGGCATTTATTATATAGATTTACCATTTAACAATCATCCTGGGTAAGACGTTAAACTACGTCAATCAGCCAGGCTTCTGATCAGGAGGTTTTGAGGAGCATGGAACCACCTCTTAATTGCTGGTGTTCCCAGGTCCACCCTGACCCCGTGTGGTAGTGGTAGCACCTGTTAGGGTCCCAGCCATGGGCAAGTAGTTAACTATTACCAGCAATGCAATTTTGAAGGAAATATATTACCAGAAACAGATTTTTGACAAAACAAAATATTACCAGCAATAAAAAATTTTGTCGGCATTAAATAACCCATTGAGGTAGATATGCCGTAAAACAAAATAAACCAAACCAATCTAAACATATTCTATTCATACGAATCTATCCTAAAAATGTTGTCGGCATTAAATAATCCATTGAGGTTGATATGCCATAAAACAAAATAAACCAAACCAATCTAAACCAAAGAATACATATTCTATTCATATGAATCTATCCTAAAATGTTGTCAGCATTAAATAACCCATTGAGGTAGATATGCCATAAAACAAAATAAACTAAATCAATCTAAACCAAAGGATACATATTCTATTCATACAAATCTATCCTAAAAATGTTGTCGGCATTAAATAACCCATTGAGGTTGATATACCGTTAAACAAAATAAACCAAACCAAAAAATTTTACAAAGAAATAAATATGAAAATAATAACTGTAATTATAAATTTAAAAAATGCATTTTCTCAGTATTTCTTTTATTTGCACTCAACACACAAATTCACTAAAATTAGTTGAGAGCATCTTTTTCTCAGAACCAAACATAATTTTAGATTTTATTATCTAAAATTAAAAGAATGTTTGGCTCAGAGGAAGAGAAGACCACAAACTCTCAATATTTTGAGTGGGTATTTCCTATTCATTGGATGTACAAAGTTTTCTTTGTGTTTCATTACAGGATGTTGATAAATTTTTCCATGAATATTGTATTGACGTTGATTTACATATTTTGATATTTTTTATAATTTTTTTAATGGAAAGAGTTATTTTCAAATTTATTTCTTTATAAAATTGTTAATAATAAAACCTTATAAATAATAAATATTGCACTGTACTTGGTTCACATATTTTAATAATAATCTTGTAAATAAATATTGCAGAGGGAATAAAAAAAAAAATGGTGTAATAGCGGTGTCAAAGGAATAACAGTCCTTTTGACACACCTTTTTCTTTTTTCTTTCTCTTTTCTTTCTCTTCTCTTTTCTTTCTCTTCTCTTTTCTTTCTCTTCTCTTTTCTTTCTTTTTCTCTTTTCTTTTTCTTTTTCTTTCTTTCTTTTTCTTTTTCTCTTTTTTTTTTTTCACTTTCTTTTTCTCTTTCACTTTCTTTTTCTCTTTCACTTTCTTTTTCTCTTTCACTTTCTTTTTCTCTTTCACTTTCTTTTTCTCTTTCACTTTCTTTTTCACTTTCACTTTCTTTCACTCTCTTTTTCACTTTCACTTTCTTTCACTCTCTTTTTCACTTTCACTTTCTTTCACTCTCTCTTTCACTTTCTTTCTCTCTTTCTTTCTCTCTTTCACTTTCTTTCTCTCTTTCTTTTTCTCTTTCACTTTCTTTCTCTCTTTCTTTTTCTCTTTCACTTTCTTTCTCTCTTTCTTTTTTTCTTTCTCTTTTCTTTCTCTTTCTTTTCTTTCTTTCACTTTCTCTTTCACTTTCTTTCTCTCTTTCTTTTTCTCTTTCACTTTCTTTCTCTCTTTCTTTGCTTTTCTGGCACAAAAGTTAAACATTGTCAAATCTTTTTATTAGTTCATTACATTTATATGAATAGAGCCATCATCAACAGAAACTGTTAGGTATGTGCAAAAGTTTCCATCATAATTTATTGTAAACTAGAAACAAAATACATGTGTGAAAATCCTTTTTTTTTTTTTTTTTGCGTATCACTTTATATTTTATTATAATAACCAAAGATTCTCCAACAATATGTCGTATGTGTATAGTAAAATTGCAAATATAAAATTAACCAAAAATTCCTTAGCCTATTAAAACTCTAGGTTTCTAGGGAACACTAGTTGAGAAACACTAGTCTACACTGTTTAGGTAAACAGTATGTATACTCTATAGTCATGCAGCTGTATATACAACAAAGATTTATGTATGTCTTGTAATATATTCCTTCCTTTTATTTTGATTAAAGCATCTGCAATTTTGTCTTAGACTCACATTTCTACTGACTCGTACTTGGCAGGAAATCCTTTGTTCAATAGTTTCATCAGTAAACCTTGGCCTTACAAGTGCTTGTTAGTAGGTGGTTATTTTTTTTTTTTTGGTTGTTGTTTTTGTTTTTTCTACAACTATTCACCACAATAAAATGTGAGCACTGCATGAACAGTGCTTTTTTTATATGCTCTGACTTTGTCTTCTGGCCGCAACAATTTCGCTTTTATGAAAGTCTGTCTTTCTTGCCTGCACAACACATCATAATGATATACGCTAGACTAGATTTCTTGCTTACATACCTCTGATCCTGAGATTAGCAGTTATGAGGCAATAGCTGTCATTCTTGTCACATGTTGCTGGTCATAATGTTTTCATTCATAGATGTACATAGATATCCCAACACATTTTAGTCTTGTAAGACTGCAAATATGCAACATTATAGTGTTTCTTTAACCATCTTCTACATCCCTATTCTATTATATTCTACAATTCTACTACATCCGCCTGCATTCTACAATTTTCTTATTTGCCTGCGTTCTACACTTTTCTTCTTATTCACCTGCGTTTTTGTTATAATGGAACACATCTATTCTGTAGTTAATAGACTCTCCCACCTATAATAAGTAGGAGTAGTAGCAGTCACCAGTCGCTTGGGGAGTTGGTCAGTCAGTTGATGTCAGACAACCGTTAGTTGGATACTAAAAGTATCAGCGACCACCACTAGATTTCTCTGCGTTATTACCTATCATATCAAGTTCCTAACGTTTTGTACGTCAAACCTATTTTAGGACCGACTTAGTGAAATACAAGCCTCCACTGTGAAAACTACTCTACAACAGTTCTACACTTTTCTTCTTATTCTCTTGTATTCTGCTCTTCTACTATTTGTGTGGTTCTATATCAGTCTTCTATTTTTGTATCCATTCATGTGTACATATTTTTTTTCTTCATATCTATTTTTTTTTTTTTTTTTTTTTTTTTTTTTAAAGGCTAGTCTCCAAGAAAAATTGTCAAACACAAAGCAGTTGCTTGAACAAAGAACATCTGAAAAAACTGTGCAGGAAGAGGCCTTATATAAACAGATTAAGGACCTTAAGGGTCAGTTGGATGCTGAAAAAGACCACAAGCAGATATTAGAGCTAAGTGTTGATGAGAAAACAGAAAAGGTGGCCAACTGTCAGTTTCGGATTCAGCAATTGGAAGGAGAAATCCAAACTAAGGTGAGTCGGAATGGAATTTGATAATGGTTTTAAGTTTCTATTCTCATCTTAGATGGATTATCTGTGTCACTGTCACAAGTCTGGGTGGGGAAGACAAGACAAGACTTTAGGTTTCCAAGATGTTCCACAAATAAATGTGGAGAAGGCCATTGATAAAAATCTTTGACAAAGGAAGACATTCCAAGGAGAAGAGGAACGATAGAGAAACTGTTGGTTTCTGTCCAATATAGCTGAAATTTTTGGAAAGAAGACTTGGCAAATTGAACACTCACAAGACCCATTAATGG